TAGGAAACAAGGAACATTGCTTAGAAATACCAACACACTTTGAAACTTAATGGGCTTTGAGCCATCAAAACCAGAAAACATCACCGATGAAAAGTACCCCTAACCTGTGCTAAGCATCACAGTGCATCTCATAGAATTAGCTGTTTGTTCTCCCAACTGTGGGGCTGACTGGGAGCTATAGCTTGCTTATTGCTAGCCTGGGGAAATATACAAGTTCAGCATTTAAAGTATGACCTCTTCTGAATGTGTATTGCTTTCACATTACTATAAAGTTGAAAAATCATTGCCAAGTCCGTAGACTCTGGGGTCATTTGTAATCAAGTCACTTCTGCTTCACATGATGGAATTGCGACCCTACTGCTCCCTGATCCTGGCTCCACTGTGAATCTGTTCCAGCTCCACCTGCTCTAAAGGCCTTGAGAAATGCCACCTCCTTATTTCTCTGGATTTATTTATTCCTGTCAGCAGTAAGATGGAAAGGAATAATTGCTCATTAATGACCCCTCTCCGCAAAGATCTGGGATTTTTAGTGTTGATATGATCAACTTATGATGAATAGTTTTGAGTCACTCGCAAGATAAAAAGTCCAAGATTCCTATTGCAATAATGCTTTAGCTCTGGAGGATGTTTCACAATGTAGCACAATATACTGCAAAGGAGCAAAAGTGACTCCCACCGCACTAGCTGTTAAAAATTTATTCTCACATGCATAGAATGAATCAGGATATCTTTTATTAACATGGGCTTGTTTCATTTTCTTCACTGATTAGACGGGTACCTAGCTCAATGTCAAACGTCTCCTAAGATATATTCTCATTTACTGCTAAAGTTCTTGTGAGAATAAAGTGAGGTGATGTGACAAAAGCCTAGCGCTGTATCTAAGACACACTGAGTAGTTTCATGAATGTAGAATGAAGGAAATTTGGAACTAGTAAAACTGCATCATTTTTTTCATTGTAGCTTTGTATAGTGGTGTGTACCTGGCTGGATTCAGTTCTGTTGGCTTCTGTGAACCTCAAAGAAGTTGAGGTTTTCATTCCAAGAATTCAGATCTTGGCTTTATTTCCTTTTCCAACTGAAACTCTCTGGGATAGAAGTGTGTAAAATGTCATTCAGTTACCAAACACCCGCCTTCCAACTTGCCCACAACAGTAGGATATCTGTCCTCTCTGAGTTTTCATATTCTTTACATGTCATCCTAATGCGCTGAGAAAGATTATTCATGATCAGAGCTGAAGCAAATGTATAGATCAGTGCCCGTTGCATTTTGTAGGTGAAAAAATAGGGACAATATCCTAAAGCAGATGTTGAAGAAAGACATTGCAAAAGGTACAGGCCATCTCCCTCTTGCTTTCCTCTCCTGGGGTGTTGCTAAAGCAGGTGTGTGAGACCTCAACGCAGGAGTACGCCCTCATGAGGGTGACATGTACAGTGGCGCATAGCCAGCCTTGCAGCATGGAGTGCTTCACAGTGCAGCTTGTCCTTGGATGGCATCGAGGCACTCCACAGAAGTCTCATTAATTTTACAGTGTGTTATGTTACGAGTCAAATTTGACATTTTCAAAGAAGCAGTAAGATGAGTCCTCTTTTCTGACTAACAGCCTATTCAGTTCAAGTGCAACCCCCTTGCCCTAGTCATTCCTTCCCCCATTATATCCAGTTTCTGGTTAGAATACACCATATACAGCCTCAAGGTTGGGAGGGACTCAGTGCTGCTAACTCACTCATTGGAGTGTGTTTCTTGCTTGTTGAATTGTGGCCAGACCTTTTTCTTCACTGTTTGCCCTTTGGAAAGTTCTGGAACTTAAAGTCAGGATGTGACTTTAAGGTACAGGACGCTCAAACTGGGCGGAAGGCAATTTAAACAGTCTTGCCTCTTTGAACTCAGTGTGTTCTGTATTATTCATTCTCAAACAGCTGAATCTCTCTCTCTCTTTTTTTTTTTTAATTTATGAGTTACCATTTAGGAAAGAGTGAAATGGCTCAAGCTTTGGCAATTTGAGACAAGTTTATACACACTCATGGCAGATAACACGACCAAAATAAATCTAAGCATCCTTCTGCTTTTAAACACAACTGCCTCCTTTTGTTTTGAACAATGCTATAGAAGGACACAGTTGTGGCTGCACAGTTGAGTTCAAGTCCCATTAAACCCTTACTGTTTCGGGATTCAGATATTTAATTTCCACGGAAAGAAGATCCAGCATTAATGGGGATCGGAACTACCACTTTTATTTTTGTAATATGAATAATTTAGCTCAGAATTTAAACATTATAAGTTCAAAAACAAAAAATCAGTGGACAAATATTAAGCATCTATTATATACTCTGGCCTGCTGGGTTACACATTAATAAAGTTTAGGGCCATGTTTCATATCAGTTTTCCTGGGGATTTGCAAGTTTATTAGGTCAGATATTTCTCCTGGCAAGAAATAAAACATTTTGAGGAAAGAAAAATGACACAAAGATACCATTTAGGGTAGCAAATGTTGCATCATGGCCATGACAAAAATTGCAAGCTGATGGGATAAGGCAGCACAGAAATTCAAAAAGTTTCAGCTGATTTGACAGTTAACCTACATCTTAAAAGAGCAAGCCTCTCTAAGGTCTCAAAGGGATGCTGTGATCCTGGTGGATGGGTGAGCTACTGAATCTCTTGACAACAGTTGTTTTAATATGTGTACAAGTTCTGTGTGAAAATCCTTTCTCTAGGATATGACCCCTCACTCAACTTGTCAATGTGGACTGCACGCTGTGACCCACTTTAGTGGCTTGAATGGGGCACAGGTGTGTTCCTTAGGATGCTGGGTAATAAAGGATATGGTGCTTTCTCCTTGCTCGTTTCTCTGGTAACGCCCTCCAAGAGATGCTATATTGTGAAGACCCTGAAACAACCAGAGATAGTAGCCCATGTTTTCAGAAATTGTGGCCTCTCCTTGACTCTGTGTGAGCTGCCTGAAAATGGGTCCCAGAGCTCCAGTCAAGCCCCAGCTGCCATCTTGTGGCAGTGTCATGACCCACTGTGAGCAAGAAACACTCATCTAAGTCACTGCAGTATTCCGGATGCTCAGAAATGGAAGTGAACAATGCTTAGTGTTTGTGAATGTTGGAGTAATTTGGCAAGCAATGTATCATCAATGCTGCAGGGCGAGTTCCCAAGAGAAATGTGCCTTTGGATGGAACCCACAAGCCTCTCATGGATGGTTAAGGTCAGACTGGAGGATGTTCAACACTGATCTATTAAGCTTGGATTTATCCTATGAGCAGCCTATCCAAACCAAACCATGAGACTGACTGCAGGTAGTTACATGGAAAGAATTGATGATATTATCTTTTGCATGACATGGAATGTGAAATAAATGATTTGGGAGGGAGATGTGGGACTTCCAGTTGGAAAATTCTTTAATTGATCATTTAGGTAAGAAACAGATGATTTAGCAAAAGCAGAGGGGATGGATATGGCAAGACTGTCCTAGGATTAGGTGGCTTCCAGAAGAAAATGGCCTATAGGATCATTTGGTACAATTGTATCTACATCTACATTGTCTAGGGAAAACTGTGAACTATATAATGATACTTGATACTAACATTGTATACACACACACAAATGCATGCAGAAACACACATTCATGAACTATGCAAAAAGAACGTCACTCCAAAGACATTTCTCAATCTCACTATTTCACTCAGGATTTAATATTAAGTAGTTGAAAAGATCTCCTATAGAAACTCTTAATTCAAGAACATAAGGAAAATAATGAGCTCTCACTTTCCAAAGAAGTCCAAAGCCTCACATTTGTCCACCGTACAAATGAGGCCATGGAGGATCAGACTGAATTACAGTGGGGTGCTTTGCCATTTCGTCTAAATTACAGAACACAGTATTGAACCACCGGTGAATTTAAACACACTCTGTGACTAAAATAGCACAACGTGCTATGGTATTAAATTAGCTAGGAAGTTTTCACCTCTCCCCAGAGTGGCTTTCTGGGAAACTACCATCTATCCACAGTATTTCAACAGTCCCAGGAAACAGTGAGTATGCACATTAGTGTTTCATAATCTCACATTTCTACACAAATGGTGAAGGGAGAAAAACTGTAAAGGAACACTTATTTTTATTCTATTATGTTGAATGCAGTGTATCATCACCAGTCAGTGCTGCATTCCTGGCAATTTCTTCAAGACAGTAGGGTTTGCAGGACATTAATGAGGAAGCCAGGAGGAATTAAAAAGCAACAGGAAGTGTCATGAAATTAAATTTGCTTTTCAGAAGGAAAAGTGAATTTGTTGAGAATCATATTATGCATTTCTAAGATCTGCTTTTTAAGCAATGCTTCTTTTCATGCGCATATCATGTAAAACCTTGTAGAAGTAACATTGATCTTCAAATGACTTGTTTCAATAAATATTCATTAAATAATCCATGTATGAATTACGGAAGATAGGCCATGATATCCCTTTGTGGGGCGGGGGGGGGGGCATCTGTATGGTGCTTGAGGAACAGCCTGTGTTGTTGATGGTGGCAGCCCAGCACCTACCTTAATGCCTGAGACAGACGCCCTGAGCAGATGACACTTTGACATAGGAACTGGTGAGTGACTGATTGTGTAGGTTATCACCTGTACAAATAATTCAAGGCCCTATATTACAAATGCATGCTGATGGGAAGGACTCATACATATTTACAACTGAGGAGTTTTTTGGAAGATGTATAAAGTCCTGACGTTTAACAGAAGACAAAAATAACAGAAGTGTGAATGAAGTGAAGAGGCGGCAGTGTATTTTGGGAATGTTGAAGTCACTATTTGAATTGAAGCACAGTGCCATAGCTACGGTTGAGAATATCACTGCTCAGAATAATTGATATGGTGAAAACGAGTCAACAAAATAATGTTCCTCCCAGGGTATCAATAATTCACTTCTGGTTCATAGTCCAAAGTTAAACTTCCAAGGACAGAAAAAAAGGAAAAGACAAAGAGAAACCACCACCATTAGTGCCTGCACCAGAGCTATTTATTAGCATAACTTTTTTTTTTCCTTAAAGATTTCATAACAACTGAAGTATGTACAAAGTCTTACAGAATTTACACCATAAAAAGTTTTCTATTAGCAGATGAAGTCTAAGGTAGCACTGCTGAGAATTTCAGAGCTTGGCGACAAGAGCAATGAAGTGGACCCCTGCTCAGTTCCCTCTCTGCTACCAAACGACCCAGTCAGCTGGTTGACAGCCAACTAACCCACCTGGAGGACAGGTGACTGGGAAAAAAGGGGACAAGCTGATAGGCATCACCACAGACCACAGGGTGGAAAAGTTACAGAGTGTCGTGTTTCTATACTTTCCTACAGGTGTAACAAAAATCCACAGCGGCAGAGAGTAACACAGACTAGACAGAAGCACAAGGCTCGGGTAAGGTTCAGATGGGATGCTCTAGGCTGGTACGGCCGCTATTTCCGTTTCTGTTCACGTCTTCGGACAGCTCAAATCCAAATCAGACCCACTCCTCCCCCCACAGAAAATAACAAGGGGAGAAAGTTCAGAGAAATAGCGTGAAGTTAATAGTTCTTGACAAAAGGAAAGAAAATTAAAAATGAAAGGCATTCAGCATCTGTTTTAGGGTGGCCACACCTGTAAAACCTTAATAATTAGAACTTTCTGAACTGCCTTAAATGAAAACACCAACACCAATCCCCCCGCTCACCCAACTTGGCTACATTCCACCCCTTATCATTGAATCTGATTGTCTGTCTTTCTTCGGGGTCAATATTACACAGAAACACCACCATGTTCACACTAAACCAGACACAAAACACAGCACCGTTGCCTCTCTAAGTGGCACGGGCAATTCCACATGTAAACCATTAACAGCAGGGACACCACTTGATTCCACAGAAAACCCAGCCTGGCTCTCCATTCGCTCAGTCATTTTCCAGTTTGGTAGCAGATCCCACTGATTGCCCTGGCCCTCCCTTGGTTATGGTCTCCCATCGCAGGCAAAGCGGCTTCTTTTTTATTGCAAAAGATTCTGCTGTCAACTTCAAAGCCAGTTGAGAAAACGTTTAATTAAGACACAAGAGCGTGGGATAGAAAAACACAAGAACCACATAAATATTGAAGGGATCGTCTACTGTTTCCGTGTAAACAGTTCTGCTGAAGAGCAAAGCCCTAATCAGATTCTGGCCTGGAACCTTTGGCGGATGAGGTTGCGTTCAGCCAGGCTCGGAGGCAATGGTGGTGAGGAAGCCAGGCCAGTCCCCATGTTGACAGGCATGCAACTTGGAAACATTGCACAACAAGCAACACAAAGAGCCGAGAAGCTCACAACACTTCAAGGTAGACCTCACGACCTTCACGACTGCATATGCACAGACGGACTCCTCCCCTCCCTCTCCACGCTGTCTTACACGTGCGAGACCTTCTGTGACTCGCGCGCCTGCTTGATGCTATACAACCACTTGATGATTCTCGCATTCCTCTCAATGGCGGAGATGCCATAGGGCACCCGATCATTGGCACTGTCGTCATTTCTAAGGTCACTGTTACTGTCCTGGGACTGTTCACAGTCTGAGCTGATCATGCTTGCGCTGCGGAAGTTGAGGGAGATGATGTCAGAGTTAGCCCTTGCAAAGTTCTCCATGCCTAGGTTCTCCAGCTCTTCTGGGTCCAGTCCGCAGTAGTTGAAGAATCTCTCCACGTCGGCGTCCACTCGGAAATACCTGTCACTCAAGTCTGACTTAGAGCGCTGCAGCGAAGGTCTGCGGCTCACTCCACAGGCGGGTTCCACGGGGTCAGCGGCTTCTGGGGACTTCACGGCGCCCGCGATGGAGTTCGCTGTGGCTGTGGCCGCGGCGGTGGCAGCGACCTTAGGTTTGGGAGGCAGGGGAGGAGCGGAGCTGCTGCAGGGGATGGCTTTGAGGGGCTTCACACTGGACACTTTACGGATGTCCGAGGAGCTGTGGGACACGTGCAAGAAGGACTCGGCCGACTGCTCCAGCAGCCTCCTGCTCACGTGCGAGCTGCTCTCCTGCGGGCTGCCGCGCCCAGGCGTTGGGTAGACCTTGAGGGACTCGGCGAAGGAGTGACGGTGCAGGTCACTGGTGTCCGGCCGGTGTGGCGGCCAGTTCCGGGAGCTGTGCTTGTGACCTGAGCCCGAGCTGGAGCCCTCGGAGCTGTTGATGATGTTTTTCAGGATCTCGAGCTTGAGGTTCTCACGCTGCACACCACTCTCAGTCTTGGCGTGGTTGCCGAACACCTTGAGCGTGGGGCTGCCGAGCGCGCGCTTGGAGACAGGACACACCGGTGGCTTGGCCAGCACGGCGGGCTTCACAGGCTCCTGCTTGGCGTTGATGACCTCCTGGCTTTTGACATACTTGGCCTTGTCCGCCTCCAGCCGCTCCACGGCGCTCAGCCGCTTGGGGTTGGGCTCCGCCTGCCTGCGGAAGTAGTCGGGCCCTTTGTTGAGGATACGTAGGGGCACCGCCGAGGTGAAGGTGCCCGCGGGGCTGACCGGCTTCACCATGCTACCTGTGGGCAGCGTCTCCGTGGGCATGGCGGGCGCTCGCTCCCCGGCCGCCGTGGTGGACTTGCTTCTGGGCGCCCCCCGCCGGCCTGAACAGACACATGTACCCGAAGCACAAAGGGCGGCAGGCAGGCGCGTCCTGGACTGGAGCTTTAGCAGCAGCGGCTGCAGAGGCAGCAGTAGCAACAGCAGCAGCGGCGGCGGCTAAGGCGCATCTCACAGCTCAGTTACTGCCGCGGGTGCTGGCCAGCACTTTGCTCCCCTTCCAGGCGGCCCCTGCGTCCTAAAGGCCACAAGTCATAAATTCCTTTAATCTGCTTCACTGCCTCCTTTCTTCTCCCCAAAGGCGGTGGGAGTCTCCTTCCAGGTCTTTGTGCTCCACGGCAGGCAGAGCTGTAACACAAAACAACCAACCGCGGGTTAGGAGGGGCGGGTGACATCATGGCTCTAGCAACAGAGGAACCCCGTGGCGCCCCCTTTCCAGCCTCGGCCGCCCAAGGGTCCCGGCCTCTGACTGCATCCGAGAGTCACCTCCCGGTTAACCGCGCAAGGTGAGCACGCGCCCCTGGTCCGTGGCTGCCAGAGGCCAGGCTTGGAGAGAAGCCCACATCTGTGAAACCTCCCGAGCAGACTCTGCTAGCTGCTGCCCTGGTCAAAAGAGTAGCTTTACTTGGGGGCACATCCCAGGAAATGTGGTTCTGGCAGCTCCTTACAAGCCATCAGGCTGCTATGAATTCCTTCTTGGCTTTAGGGTGCACACATCAGTGAATGAAAATGCAGCGCTCTTGCAGTTTAGCAACACTGACTGCTAGAAATCGGATCTGTCACTGCCACTTGAAAGATCTCTTCCTTAATCTTCAAAAACTGCAAGAAAAAAAAAATGGCTAGACACGGGATTAGTAGGGAGGACAACAGCTTTCTGGGAAACTCCACCTGTTGTCTCACTTTTGCCGAAAACTTTTCTTTGGAAAACCAAGAATGTATGTGATCATCAAAATAAATCCAAATTTATTTTTTTTTTAGTGTTAAAAGTCCTAGAAACACTTCAAGCTGAGCCATCTAAGTAGATAATTTGGATATAAATGTTCATAATTTCTTACATCTAAGGAGTTTCTTAGTGGTAAGCATATTCCCAAAACCCCATAGTTATTCAGAGCATAATCTTGAAATGTCAATTATACCCAAATATATTATTCCATGTTATAGAAGATTCGTGCAACAGTTAAACACTGATGGACTGTAGATATGATTTTTAAATCACCTGACTCTCAAAATAAAAACAGTATAATTGAGCACCCATCAGTATTCCCAATGCAGTTCTAAGTACAAGGAGTCTTCCTACCTCATATACAATATAATGTAACATTTACTCTGGAAGAGATCCTCTCAATCATTGCCTGGTGCTGCCAGCAGGGAACACTGATAAAAACCACTGGTATGCGCATTGGCTGGTGCAGGTTATGGGCTGAATCTAACCCTGCACCACTTGGCACACACAACAGTCAAGTCTGAGGTCACCCCAGGCAAGGTTTCTTGGGGGACTCACAACAAGATCGCTGGACTCAAATCTCATCTGCAGGGGAAAATCACCAAATTTGTGGTCTGACCTCGGAGAGCATGCAACTGGGCCTCCTTAGTTGCTGGCGCCTGTGCAATGGAGACATGCCTAAATGCACACAGGGGACATTGAAGGATAGCACATCTGCATTAGCAGAGGCTGTCAAGTGCCTTGTCAGAGGATGGAAAGCAGAATAGGTTGGACAAGTCTCCTGGCTAAGCTTTGCAGCAGGTGTCTAGGTCTAAGAATGCACACTGAGACGGACTTGGTCAGCCAACAAACCTTGTAAAAGATTTTCTCAACCTCAGTGCAAAGAAGCTGACCACATATCAGAACCATCAAAACCACTCCAGTAATACCCTCAGAACATTTTTTCCCATATTGGAGTCTCTAGGGTGTCATCAAATGACTGTCCCCCATCCCTGGGTGCTGATGTAGTTCAATAAGTGGTTCCCATCCCAGCCCTCCACTAACAGACCAAGAGAATAAAAAGAAAAGAACTGAAACATTTGTCTCACCCACCTTCCTCCATACTTCAGCTCTCACCACTCTGATCAAAGGCCCACATGGGTATGAATCCCTCTCAACTATGTAAACAGTATGAGAAGTAAAAGTAAAATATTTAAAATGACCTTATCAGCTTCCTTGCTTAGTATTAGGACTACTTAAAGAGTAATATGTCATTAAGATGTCAGACAAGCAGTCATGAAATAAAATGGCATTGTATATAAAATCAGCTTCCAGGCAAAAACGAGGAGGAGGGTTCAGGAGTTACTGTTTCTCTTCATCTTCTCTTCACATCAACAACTCATCCATAAAAGGAACTTATAAGGTTCAGCTAGAGAAAATTCTGGTGGTTTGTAAAAGGATCTCTTCTAATAAAAAAAATATTTTTCTTGACAAGATGTGCAAGTCCCCATGGCAATCCCTAAATAATGATTTTCTTTAATTGTGCAGTTCTATTTTGCTACCTCCATTTAGTTGGAGAAAACCCACTTCCTCCCATGAAGATGAAATACGATTACTATTTTACACATATTCTGGATGAAATGCCAGCAGAGAGCTTAGTTCCTCTGCAGGACTCCTGGCTGTGCTTATCAAGCCCTGGCTCCACCTCCCTGGCAAGGTGTCTTGGATGGGCCTCTCCTGGGCAGCAAGGGGATACACCATTCCACTCTTCTACTAAGGGACCTGAGAGCCACAGAAGGCAGAACCGTGGGTGCGGGGCAACCCAGAGAATCAGACCCAGCTCACTTGGCAGACGGCTGTTTTCAGAATACACCATGCTTTCCCTGAGCCGGATAGAATGTGGGGGCTCAGGGAAGGAGAAGCCAAAGTGTACACCTCAAAAGCAAGGACTGTCTATGATCTTTTGCCTGTTTTCTCATTTGCCTTGTAAGCCAGAATTCCTCTTCCCCAAGGTATCTCATGGAAACCAGACCCTCCATTCTTCAAAGCCAGCCATAAAACCTAAAAATATCACTGCAATATTCCCTAGCCTTGCTGTGGAAGAACCGCTCATAAAGAACTCTCACTGCCTTGCTTGACTGTAGGTCACAGACCTCCATTCTAGATCTTGGACTTTATCCAGAAGGAGGAATACTGTGTAGAAGGGCTGAAACTAGACCGGCCTTTCTGGCTTTCTTCACTCAGTCTATTAGCATTATCTTCCACTCTTTGTGACCAATCACATCCTGCCTGGTTATCCATGCTATATGCAACCTAAGTGTAAAAATGCAGAATTCATTCTGGATATCTGGGTCTTTAATCAGAAGGTTCTCATGTCACATAAAATGGTGATGAAATGACAATGACTTTCACCATCCCATTTTCCACTCCTATGGTAACATCCACAGTATGTCTGCATCTCTTCCCTCCACAGAAGCCCCGGTGCGGTGCTGCAGGGACAGAGTGCAGGACAAGACTGAGAGCAACAGTCATCACCTTTGTGCCTAAGGTCCAAAGCAGACTTGCAGTGAACAGGAAGATGGCCAAGTGAACAGACAGAAACACAGCTCGGTAAGTGGCAGGAGGCAGAGGTTATATCCCTTTTCCTGCAGCATCAGTTGGATGAGTAGATTCCTACGATCCTTCCTCACTGCAAAATAATGTCTTTCTCAGCAGCTAAGAATAAAGGAGTTATTTCTGCTCCAAAATGGAACACAAATAAATACCAGGGAGTGACTGAACTTTACCTTGTATCCTGCATTTAGAATTCACAGGAAAATGTTCTGAATGATGAGTTAGTTATTAACTAGCATTCATAGGCATTCAAGCTCATGTTGGCTGTGAAATTTCTCTCGCCCTCTTTTCTTATAGCTCTACCATGTTAGTATATGAAGGCCAGCCCACCGCCTCGGACCCTATAGCTGTGAAGATGGGCTTTGGTATACCTGACAGCATAAAACTAACTCCGGTAAGAACAGCTAATTGGAAGACTCAAAAATAAAAGAAAACTGGTTGCTATTTTATTATAAGCAGGTACATTCAAAGCTCCTTACCTCTTTTATCCAGTAAGTGAAACCTATTTTAAAAAGAACCAAGGCAGAGGTGGGTGTTTGGCATGTCTCTGAAGACAACAGTTGGTATTACATTCCATATTACAGTACTGAGTTTCAAGTCTCAGTTCTGCCCCTTAAACCAGCTTCCTACTAATGCACAAAACTCTGAAGATGGTAAGTTATGGCTCACATTACTGAGTCACTGCTATCTATATGAAAGCCCCAGAAGGCATTCTAACTCATGGTTTCAGCCTGGCCCTGCTCTGGCACTCCCCCCCTCCCTGTTTCTCTGCCCCTTATCTAAATATATCTATGTATATATACTTACAAACCATTTTTTACTACATTCTACTCCTTTTAATTCCCATTTGAGTATTTTTATAAAATGGTAAAAAGGATTAGCGAAAGAAAGCTTGGCAGAGCTGAGTTGCACAATGACTCCTTGCATCAGGCTTAATAGTGAGATGGTCTGGGGGTGGGTTAAAGGGGTCCCACCAGCTGTAGGGGTGAGGTGGTCGGTGGGGGAGAGGGACAGAAGACACTGAAGTGTGCAGGAGAAATTGCTTTAAGGTTCCCAAATGCCTGCAAGAGCCAGGGCTAGTGCAGGCCAAATCCAAGGGCCAGGAAATCAATATGGTCATCCCGCAAGGATAACAGGGAGGCAAATACACGAGGCATCAGTTGCTGCATTCTCATTGGCACTGTTAGTAAGAAACTGGAATTGGAAGGGAAGTGGGACTTAATCATATGCATGTAAACATGGGATGCAGGTACTCCAAGCAGGGTCTCAACTGCTGTATCTGAAAACACCATCGGTGGCTTTTGAACTTGAGTGTGCCAGTACATGGTTTCCTTAATACTGACTCAAGAACTCTGGGAGAATCCCCTGACTCTGTGATTCTCCCCATGCGGTGCCTTTGAGTAGCAAGGAGAAAAGCAGGAAACCTGCCTCTGTGCTAACACGTGCCCTA